GGAAAAAGGCGGTCCTGGTGATGTGATTGATGTGGTGGTTGATATAATTTTTTTTGTGGTGAATTTGAGCTGACTGTCGAAGATGACTCCGAGGTTGCGGATGTGAGGGGGGCAGATAGAGTGTGGCTGTCAATGNAATTGAATACAGATTTCAAAATGTCAAAAGCAATAAACCAAAGGTTTTAAACTAGGACCACGAGCAGGTTGTTACAATACACAACACACCTTCAGTTGTCACAACTGAAGGTGTGTTGTGTATTGTAACAACCTGCTCGTGGTCCTAGTTTAAAACCTTTGGTTTATTGCTTTTGACATTTTGAAATCTGTATTCAATTATAGATTGGAAAACTATGCCAGACCCAGCCAGGGTTGCTCTGTTGTACAGAGAAACAATGCTGGACATTCATGCATCAGGGAAGCCGCTGCATTTGCATGTTAACCTCAGACCAAGAAATGGATTTCATTGCATTTTACAAGGCTTGCAATGTAGGGGTGCAACAACTAATCGACTTAATCGATTAAAATCCATTACCAAATTAGTTGCCAACTAATTCAGTCGTCGATTCGTTGGTGACGTCATCACGTGTGTTTTACGCACCGTTAAGCTCCAACGTTATTGGTCTTTTTATCGGTACTGGAGACATGGACAATACTCGTTGCCAAAAGTGCAATAAGAGTTTAGCATGTCAGGGCGGTAACACGAGCAATTTGTCTAAACATTTAGCAAAAGTGCACCACATTCAGACGGAGGAATGCACCGGCTTCGACTGTCTTTCTAGTAGCGCTGTAGACCCATCCACGAGTAACGTTTCCACGTCAGGTGTTATGTATGCTAGCAGCAACACACGGAGTTAACTCAATTATACAAACATGGGTTAATGATTAGAGGAAACTGAGTTACTCTTTATTTTGTTAAAGTTTCAGCTATTCTGTCATCACATTATTTAATATGTTTTGTTAAAACATTTGTTTCTTTTGATGTGAAATATTATTTAAATAAAAAGCAATGTTAATTTTGTTCACAATTTGTTAAGTTAATTTAATAATATATATTTTATATATATCAAGTATTCATCTTTATTGTTTTCATTGTTAGTTTCCACATGCCTAAAACAACCTCAGGCTACATCTAAAAGTTGATGGCTAAATGAGAGCATTTGAGAAATTGTGCAAGGCATACAGTAATAGTCAGAATAGTCGATTAATCGTTTCATTAATCGATAGATTAATCGATTATCAAATTAGTCGTTTGTTGCACTTTACTTCGCAGTTCATCCCAAATGTTTGGGATGGGGTTAAGATCATGACTGTGTAGGTTAGTAAAATAACTGTCTCGAAGAATTTTCTTTTCTTTATTGGATCTGACTTTTCTCATGGAGGCATTTGGATGTTTACCAGGGACAGGGCACCCTTGAGCAAACTATTGCCTAAAGTACAATCAGGTGCATTTCAAACAAATAAAGCAAATACATAACCAACATGAAAAATAGGAATGGAATAATGTCAACAGCCGCTTAATCACTCCAGAGAGATTTGATGTACCATTCCTTACATTGAAACGTGATACAGTAATGTCATAATTCAATAGTTTGGTAGATTTGTGTTTATGAATTCATTTCAAATTTTATTTGAAATGAATTCATAAACACAAATCTAAAGGGCAGGTACTTTCAAAAATACTTGGCAGGTGATTGGATCAATCTGTCTGTCTTTCACCTTCTATCATGGGCCACTTCTGATTGGTTAACAATGGATAGTACATGTGGAGCANATCTCGAGCCAGTTTCTCAAACTTACCACTAACCCACACCCGCTCCCGAGACCACATCACTCCCGTGCTCCAGAACCTCCACTGGCTCCCCGTCCGTCAAAGAATCCACTTCAAAGTCCTCCTGATTACTTACAAAGCCCTCAACAACCAGCCCCCCCCTACCTCACAGACCTGCTGCACCACCACACCCCTTCCCGCTGCCTCCGCTCATCAGAAGCCAACCTCCTATCCATCCCCACCCGCACCAATCACCGGACCTGGGGGGACAGAGCCTTCTCCGTCGCTGCCCCCTCCCTCTGGAACTCACTCCCACAACCCATCAGAGACTGCACCGACCTCACCTCCTTCAAAACACTCACCTCTTCAATCTGGCTTTTCATGTGTGATTGTTTTTGTATTATTTGACTTTAACTTTAACTATATATTTATTTGTTTTTCCTTTCTTTTCTTTTCTTTCCACTATATCTGTAAAGCGTCTTTGAGCACCTGTAAAAGCGCTAACAAAATAAATCTATTATTATTAATGCTAGTTACTAAAGAAGTGCTTTAATGTGTGTACAGTCTCTACACAATACTCCCCTCTCTCGCTCAGTGCTCACTCAGTGTCTCCCCCTGCAGGTGAAGCTGAGTCGGCTGTGTGAGCAGGATAAGATCCTCAAAGACCTGGAGGCGACGATCAGCTCTCTGAAGGAAGATAAGGTATGAACAGTTAGTAGATAAGGCTCGCAGAATCAGTGATTTAGTTGAAATGCCTTCTTAAAAACACACATTTTCAGACTTGTGATGTGGTCTTTTATTCATTGTATCATCTTTAATCCCTTTATTATTATTTTGATCTTGCTTTTGTTTGGCCTTACTGTTTGAATTCTGCTATATTGTCTCTGTATCTTGTAGCAATGTTTTTAAATGAGCTAGATACATGTTGGTCAATTGAGCTAATGGAGTAAAAACAAAGGAAGATTCAGGTATTAAATAGTATAGAGCAGTGCACATCCAATTTCAATTTGGGTATTGATTTTTCAGACTCCATATTTTTGATTTATTGTATTCACTATTACCAGACCTCTCCAAAAACACAACACTGAAGACACTACAGTCTCATCCGTTCTTGGAAGGATGCTGAATCCACTAAAAAGTATATTAAACACAATAAATATACTGTAAAGACAAGAATGAAAATCATTTCCAGTTAAGTAAAATTAGATCTAATGGAAGTTTATGATTGAGTGTACGAACATGCTGCCCTCTGGAGGCATTGTTGAAAAAGTGTCCTCTTCCGAATATCATAAAAGCAGGATTTAGTAGGTCTTACTGTATAGTTGCTTTGGTTGGCCTCATGCTGTACGACTCCTCACCCCAACAGGACAAGTTGGAGAGTGTGCTGGACGTGTCCCACCAGCAGATGGAGCTGTACCAGGACCAGCCGGTCCACGCTCAGAAGATCTCCTACCAGCAGAGGCTGCTGCAGGAGGACCTGGTGTCCATCCGGGCCCAAATATCACGCCTCTCCACGGTGTGTATGCCATCACAGGGTGCACAAATGTATTATTGTGGGTGTATCAGCTACTAGCCTCTTGAATATTTTACCAGCCAATTTGAATTTTGCACAACAAACTGTATGTGTAGTCGGTAGGAATAAGGTTTAAATCTATCAGAGTATTAATAAGGATACTATTCTAACACCACAGATATGTATCCAATGTATTGACTGACACGTGTGCAAAGTCTCATAATAGTATTTAAAAGTGTGTTTAATAAGTGTGTGTCTCTTTGTATGCATGTGTGTTTGAATGCATGCAGCTACTAAGTTTGCATCTATGTTTAATAGAATGTGTGTCCCTTATAGATAACCGATACCAATAGAGTACCTCATTTTATAACTATCATTATTTTGGTGTTAAGAACTGATACCCAGCCGCAATGATGCCTGCAATTAAGTTTGTGAATACATTTTTTTTAAAACTCGATCTCATTGCTATACATGGACAGTATATGTATGTAGTATATGTATATGTTATATTATGTAACCTAAGACTGTGTGTGTGCAGGAGATGGCTCAGGCCTGGGAGGAGTACAACCGGCTGGAGAGGTCCATGGAGCAGCTGAGGACGGCGCTGCAGGCTCACATGAACCACAGTGCCACCCCTCAGGTGAGAGCCGGTACTGCAGCTCACAGCAGATTCACTGGTTTTTCAGTTACAGCATCTGTTTTCATAAACTGGGTATCTTAAAGGTTATTTGTAGAGTTTGAACAGTCTGTATTACATTTGTCCTGTTGTCTTCTACAAGCTGTTGGTTTAATAATGTCTGACAATTCCTGAATCACAGGTTTCCATTCGACATATGACAAACATAAAATGTGTGTGTGTGTGTGTTTGCATCTCGCAGCAGGAGAAAGGAGAGATGAAGCGCGAGTTGTGGAGGATCGAGGACGTGATGGGGGGGCTGAGTGCCAGCAAAGCCAACTACAAGATCACCATCGACTCTGTCCAGAACCCAGGTGAGTAACCTAGCAACCCCGCGGTTATTATCAGCTACTGTGGCTTCTTTTTTGAAAATGGGGATCAATAAAGTATAAATATAATCTGTGTCATCATGGCTGTGTTTCTACTTCTTTTAATATAAATGTGGTCAGACTTTTCCCCTCCTTTCTGAGTGTGACTCCATTTCAGGACTGCTTTTTATTTTATTACTATTATTCTACTATTTCAACAATTAGACCGTTTAGACATCCGAAAAACAAACTAAATGATTAGAAAAGGAGAGGGCAGAAAGCACAGCTCATACAGAGGTAGCTCTCCCGTTAGTCATCCAGTTGCATAAAATAAATAAATAAATAATAATAAATAAAATTCTATACATACACATACATATGTACACATATACATACATATGCTAACATTTATAAGTTAAAAACCTTGATTTCTCTCTCCCACCTCTCCCCCCCTGCCCCCACTGGACTTTAACACCACACACACACTCAGACACTCAAATCCAGCACCAGACACTTTTTTACGCTGCTATGGACAATGTTGCACTTTAACACCACATTCCCAAAGCTATTGAAGTGACTGTTATTGTTGTATATATTGATTGTTGTGCTTTTATTTAGGTCTTAATATGTGCATATGTATAAATGTGTCTGTTGATTGTGTATATATAGGATATACATATTTCTATATGTTTTTGTATTTGGGATTGTGGGAAACGGTATTTCGCTCTCTCTGTCTGTAGCCTATACACAAACTGAAAGATTGACTTTGATTTCTCTGTTTTTTCCCCAGAGAGGAAACTAGTGCCTTCGGTGTCGGACCGCTCCGTGCCTTCTCTCAGCGCCGAGGTCCAGCCTCCGCCTCGCAGCTCCGTGCCCAACGCCCGCTCCCAAACGCTGCCTCACAGCACCGTGCCAAAGTGGGTGAGTGTCCCCCGTCTGCTCAGATACCACAGAGTTCACTTCATATTGGATTTATTTTTGTTGCCTTTTTTTTGGAAAGTAATGTGGTAACACAACAAAATGAGTTAAAACAAAACAAGAATCATGGAATAACAATCCACAAATCAGAAAAATAACAATAATTTAATAATTAGGACATTATTCGTCATTTCTATATTCCTGTTGTATGCCTCGCCCATTTTTCCCATCATCAGATGAATGAAATTGATTTGTTATTCAAATGAGTATTTATTTTATTCTATACATTCCCTTTTGAAGATCTTACTTACTTGTATTACTAGAAGAAGAGTAAGTAAAAACATTATTTTGATTTCTTCTGGTGTTTTTTCACGTAGATGATTGGGTTTTTATTAAGATAAATATTAGAGTCTTTCATTTTAGTGAATTTTTGGCTGGATAATGTTGTTCACGAGGTCTTCCTCAGCATTACATTCTGGTTCTTCTAAAATACTGAATATTGTTTTCCCTCCTGGTGGGTGTCCAGGCCGAGGACAGCGCCCCCCCCAGGCCTCCCCTCCCTCACCTCTATGACACCGAGGACCCGCCCCCCGTGGTGCCGCCGCTCCCCAAAGAGGCGTCCGTCATCCGCCACATGTCGGTGCGAGGGCTGAAGCGCCAATCAGACGAGAGGAAGAGGGACCGGGAGGGCGGGCAGTACGTCGCCAACGGAGAGGTAGTCTGTCTTTAAGTTACTTCAATTCATCTCCCCACTAGTGTTTCAAGTTTCAAGGCTTTTATTCTCATGTGTACATAATGTACATTATGACAATGAACATCTTAGGTCACAGGCTCCTCCAACAGTGCAACACAATGAAACAGATTAAATAGTGCAAGTAAATACAATACAATAGAATATAATAGAAATAGTGGAAAAATGTCTATGTACAGTAATTGGAATATTGATATGTATAAGTTGCAAACAGATGAATGGTTCAGGTGTTTAACAATCTAGTGTCTAGTTAAATATCATGGATTGATTCTGAACTGGGATTTGTTTTTGTTACTGCAGCATGTAAAAAAGTAAAAAATGAACAAACAGTAAATATAAAAGTATCTAGAGTATATAAACATATACAGAATAAGGTAAAACACCCTATAATAGACTAACAAGCTACTACTAAATAAACTATAAAAACATTTGCAAAAAAGTAATTGCTGTTGTATACAAAATTAAATGCAATAATGTCAAGTTTAAAGTGGACCTATCATGCTATATTTGAATAATATAGTGTAGGACCATACCTATATAAGGCATATTTATACTTTTTATTTTTCAAAATACCAAACAGATCATGCATTTTAGCCATTCCTCATTTCGCTCAATTCAACACTGTCTTTGCATCATGGGCTGATTCTGTGAGAACAGCACCACCTACAGGCCTGGCATATGTACTACAGCATCTCCAGCGCTTTCCAACGGCAATGTTGGCCCAATAGCCGTAGCGCCACTTCTGTGACGTCATAGAAGTGTTCAAATCTGGATCAGTCTGAATCAGATCCGTTCCAGGCCCTTTTTAAGAGATTTGGGTATGGAGGAAAATAGAGAGGGTTGTGTTTTCTGACACTTGGTGAGTTCCCTGGAACACCGGGGACACATATTCATGTAGAAAAGACGTAGAAAAGTGCATTTTGCATGATAGGTCACCTTTAAGTAAGCTATATGCAAATTGTTCAGGGTTATTGAAGGATGGAAAGCAGAGTGAAATTTGGTTAAAGAGAAACTAAAGTAATGTTCTGGAGGTTCCCTGCTAGTTAGACGTGAGGTGTGATACAGGGTTATTCATTTGAGCAAGAATGAAGAACGAAGCTTGTTTGAATGATTTTGTAATTGTTGTTTCAAATGCAATTAGTTGTTTTAGTACCAATAGCTAACATTCTGTCTTCCTGTTGAATGTTTTCTGGTTACAGACGGACATGCGGTCGTACCTGAGTGAACCAGAGCTGCCGGCCGTGAGCACGGGGGCCAACATGGACTACCTGTACTTCCAGGGCAAAGGTATCTGAAATGATACACATCTGGTTATTCTGATATTTTTCTCCGGGAAACAAACTGGGTTTTGGTGTNTGAATGTGTGTTTGGTGGCGTGATCATTATTATTTAGAGTCATTGCGTGCCTATTGATTTGAACACGATCCGTGTATCCATCATTTCCTGGTCTTCTCTAAAGAAGAGGGACCAATGAAAACGTTGTCATGTTGCCGTTGTTCAGCATGGAAACATTCATTAGCTAACAATGACATTATTGTTCTATTAATATAAAGGGAGGTCAGGTACTCTTTAAAACAGCTGCTAGTTATGGGTACTTTTTACTGAAGTACATTTCAAAGCCTCTTTACTTTGACTTGAGTAAAGAAGTATTTCTACTTTTACCAGAGTATTTTTAAACACGAGTATCTGTACTTCTACTCGAGTAAAGGATGTGTGTACTTTTGCCATCTCTGCTCAAATCAAATGAACAAAAATCTGCCGTGCTATGCTCAAAATCTCTGAGAAGTCATCATAAATCAAAAGGCTTACTGTGACTTTTTCCCATATCTACATTATTACTGACTTTCAACAGGAAAGGCTTCTTAACTACCACAGGAAGATAAAGTTGGTATCATATCAAAGAGCCGCCTCACAATTTTTGCAGAGCAGCGGGATGGGAGCACAGAACTGCTTTATATGCATCAGCGCTGTGCAGCCAGTCAACAAGGAATAATAACCCAATGGCAGAGATGGATGACTCCGCGCACGCATTTCTAAAAAGGTCGCTTTTTCTTGTACTCGAAATAAGTCTATTACACATGGTTGGAAAGGGAGACGATGAAGCCAAATTAAATGTTCTCTCTGAATTATTGAATGCACAGTTTTATCAGGGATCAAAAGGGAAATGATGTGAAATAGAGGAACACATCAGTCAACTCACTTAATTTATGGATGTGGATAGGTTCGCTGCCCACACCTTCACCGCCCTCACTCATGGTCTTGATCTGAATGAGATAGTTGTCATAGGATGAGAGGCTGAGCTCCACGGTGGTCTTGTTGGTGGAGATAGTGCTGATGTCATTGTTGCGATGTCTTTTCAGCACGACCTGAGCCGAGAGAGGGTGACGTAGAAAAATGAACTAATGCAAAAGCAGTCATCCCTGATTCAAGAGATACATTAGAGATTTGCATCGAATTGAGACCCACCAAGTATCCAGTGACCTTTGACTCTGTCTCAAAAGCAACGACAGGATCCCAGTGCATCGTAAGTGTGGAGCCAATCATGGTCCATTGTATGTTGAGTGGAGCCCGATCTGGAGCTAGAACCAGGAAAAGGAGTATAAATATATAACAGGATATTCTGCAGCTTAACTGTTTTCAATGCATGCACGTAGATTCTAGAACATTGTACAGATTTGTTTGCAGTTTGCATAATACATTCAGGCTGCAGCAGAGCGCCTAATAAAGACAGACTGAATTCAACAGCGGCCCTGAGAAGTCAACACACTTCAACTTAGAAAACAAACGCAAATTGACAACATGCAAAGCATTAAAGAGCAAGGCAAAGTGAGAAAACACAACCAAGTACAGAAAAAATGTGCTAAGTTAGCATTGTGTTTAATTATTTATTAGTTTTCTGTTTTGCAGTCCATTTCTGTATTGTGTAACGTTGCTGGCTAACTCTTTCGGTATTCAAGCTGCTAGAGACCTCGCATTCCTGTCGTAGACTCCAATTGTTTACCCTGTTAGCATTTAAAGCCTAAACCTATTTGCATATCTGTATTTCAGTTACATTTTCTGTTTTTCTAAATGCTGCACTTTGTTCTACATTTGTTTTCTTGTATTGCCGGGTAGAAAACTTTCAATACAAATTTGGAAAGTATTGTGTCAGCGCTGAAGAAAGGTTTAACTGCCCCCATTATAATTTGGCTTGAGTTAGGGTTATATCTTTATGATAACAAATATTTTTGTATTATGTTTCTACAGTGCGTTATATCTTTGAACCAATCACAATCGACTCGTGCTCAGCTAAGCAGTGCCCTTAGAACTACAATCTACAACCAGTGAGTCAGTCTTAGGCCACCATTCATTTCTATTTTCTATCCTAAACTTGAGTATCCTGGTGTCATGAATCACCATGGTTATTCTTTCACTCATATTGCAGATAATCGGAAGCTCTTATCCCTAATTTCATCTATGCACAGCCGTTCTCTTAGATTGTACATCTTGTACTTGCACATCACTTGTCCATTTTGCAGGAATGTTCCACTCAACACATTGATCACTTTTTTCTTCTTTTTTCCCCCAAAGAAATGCAAAGATCCCTTATCACATTGGATCGTGTGAGCAGAACAGACGGAGCTGAAGCAATGCTATGCCTGTCACATCGAGGACAGTACGAGGTCTTCCGAGAGGGGGACATGGTTCACGAAGAGGACCATTTGGAAGTAATTTAAATGGCTGTCGGTGAAGGACTCACGTGGTTTCTTTGTGGTGGTGTTGATGGATGCAGACTGTGGGCCAGGGCCGCCCGTATTGAATGCAGCCACACAGAGGTAGTAGACTGTGTTTCCTTTCAGCCCCGTAATGTTAACCAGCGTGTAGTTTCCAGATATGCGCACTTTGCCAATAGTGTCAGGCTTGGTGTCGTCTTCCCAGTACATGACCTGTTTGAGGAAAAACAGTCACAATCATGGGCAACAGCCAATTCTTCGTGGTGCATTTCACTGGATTTTTTCAATTCATATCCAATCGTGAAATATGAAACGCTATATATTACGGAAGGGAATTGAAGGGAAGGCAGTGAGTAATGATGAGCAATGCATTTTCATCGTCTCAATTACTAATGCACAACCTCCCAACCACCATATGAAAAGGGCATTAGAGGGTCATATGATAACTGACCCAGAAAGCAAAATACATGATTATTGCCTGTTTTGTCCATTAAAACAACCTCAGCTTGTGCTTTTGCCCGAGACAAATCGATAGGTTATGGATACATCTTGATTCAGACTTCTAAGCATGCTCTGGGTAAGATACAGAGTTTCCTTCAGGCCTCCAATTAAGGGTTGCAGGTAGCGGTATATTGGATAAACCAAACAAACTAATTTGCCGCTCGCTTTGGGTCATCTTCACTATTCAATGTGTCTACTATTAAAGTGACATAAGAGATAAGTCAATTCAAAATTCAATTGAAATGTGAAGTCCGCGCTCAGGGATACTATTCAGTTGCATTAAATGATTGTATTTCCAATTTCTTTTCAATTAAAGTTCTAGATGAAAAGCCCTACCGGTACTATTAGGTTTACAGTAACGTAAGCTGCAATTATGATAATTACATTCAACTGGAAGTGAAAGGCTGAGCGATGTATATGCGCGATGCACAGCTCCATAGTGTTGGTGGGCCTATTGAGATTCAGAAGCTTAAACCCTCTTCAATACCGCGTTGGGAGAAACAAGCTCTCTTCTGAAAGGACAATGTGGACACAGCCATGGCAACTCGAGGGCTTTGTGCGGAGGGCCAGAGGTGACAGATATTGAAAGAGCACCGGTGGGAGATGGGGGGGGGGGGGGGGGGGGGGCAGCAAATCCTCTTTGCATTCTTAAAAGGATGAGGTTTTTTTATCTTATTTTTTTTTGCTGTTGATGCACCACCGTTTCGGGGTCACTTAATTAGATTATAACATTTAAAAACAAAATCCTTGCAGAGCTACATGAGAAGAATCAGTAGAATATTACAAGAAAGAAAGAATGGTTATGATCTGATAGTCACGCAGCAAAGAGAAGGTCAATCATCGTGTTTTTTAAAAAGGGAGAGAATGATTTCCCGACGTACCTCATATCCGAGCACTCTTTCCGATATCGCAGGAAGTGCTTCCCAGATCACTTCAATTTGCACCGCAGACACAATCCTGGTCCTTACCCTCTTAGGAGACACACCGGGGACTGTGAAATATAGAGTGTGGGTAAGAATCCCAGACATTCATCCAACACCATCACACACACTATCCGCAATACGAGGAAAGGCACAGAACAGACCAGTCGTTTCACTGAGAAGCTATTCCCCCCCCCTTTCTCTTTTTAATGGGATCTATGACTGACATAAGGGAAGACTATCTGCCTAGCAAATTCAATTAACAGAATACCTCCCTGACAGCGCCGTGTGGTAAGTGTCTGCTAGGATTTCCTGTAATCTACCAGCATGATAACTAATATAAGTTGACATTTCGAGCTTAGAGGGGGAGGGAAATAACCGCAGTGGAAAAAGAAATATCTCCTCATCACTACGATTCAAGGTCGTACTTGTAAGGAGAGAGATTATAGCTTATTTAAGCATCACTCAGCTGCCGGGCTGTGAAGTCTTCACGTACCTTCCTCTGCCGAGAACACGGTGGCGATAGAGCTGAAGGGCCCCTCCCCTCGGTTGTTGAACGCCCCCACTTTCACGTCAAATGGCGAGAACGCTGGGATGGTGTCGTTGCGGAAGTCGTAACGATACACGCCGGGAGTGGAGATCAGCGCCCGGGTCCACGTGACTGTGCCCACGGGTCTGAAGGCGATGATGTACCCAAAGCCCTCTCCGTTCTGCAGCTCCTCGGGAACAGGCTGGGAGCAAAACACAAAACTATAGTGATATTAAAACGCATACAGACAGAGAAACAGACAGGCCCTTGTCTGCGCTGCACCTCCACAAGGTCTTCTGGGATTAGACACAGCCCGGTTCTCTGCGGTTACCACCCAGAAACACTCAGCAATCACCTTCCGCCTTATCTTTCCCTCCTGCATGGCCATGTAATTGTGGCTAAAGTGCAAAACCCTTCAGAGCAAGTGCTCTCTTGCACTCGGTGGCTGAGCCCGGAGGACTGTCTTGCTATAATGTGGGCCATAAAATTGCTCTGTTCAATTCTGCACAATTAAGCAAAACCATTACCCGGCGATGGATAGAACAGTAAAATGTGACAGATGACTTACCTCCCATGTTATCACTAATTCAGACTTTGTGCCGCCTCCACCTCCGACGTCAGTGGGAGCTGTATCAGGAACTGAGAGGTAAAACCCAGAGGAGAGCAATTAGAGCGCAGTTTACAAAGCCCCACGACAAGCATCAACTACACTCGTAGCCTCATGACAAGACTGCCTGCTGCAGATACTGTTTTCTATTTTACAGCCAACTCGTGTCGAACACAAGGATGTGCACTTCAGAGAAAAAGTGATATTGCCCAAATGTCACCATGCATAAACACGAAGTCAGATACGTAGTATTTTGCAGATGAAACTCAACTCAACCCACTTCATTCCCATTCCTACTCAGCTGTTTGTGCACTGTAGTGTGATGGAAATGCTGAATGTGTAGGAGGTAGCCTATCGTAAGTGGAGCATCACATTTAATGTGTTGTACCAGTAAATGGTTGTTGAAGCATTTTGAGACCTATCTGATATCCTACCAATGTAATGTTGGCCATTGCCGTAGTAGCTTAGGAACTGAGAACCCGGATTTCTATCCAAACTTCATTAGGATACCTTTATCCTTTTTAGAGTCCTCCCTTAGCTGCTAACACTCATGTTTTCAAACTCTGTCTCATGCTCTCACACTAAGGCTTGGCTTGTCCACTTCTCACAGATTAGTCAGTTTGACCCCTGACTCATCATGTCTACACATGGAAGTGGCCTTGGGCGGGACTCTGAATCCCAAATTGATTATGATAGCCAGGACAGGGGTTTGCATGGCGGCCCCATCCCCATTGGAATGTGTGTGTTAGTATATAAGAGGCCAATTGTAAAGAAAAGCGTAACATAAGTGCAGTCCATTTACCACTTACCTTTACAAATGGAGGCAAAATAAAAGGAAGTGACCAACCCTTGACACCCATTGATTCAGCTAAACCATTTATATAAGCTACCTCTCCACAAAGCAAAACACTCAACATAAAGCTTTCCTGCGCAGATATAAGGGCTCTAGACTTGTCTCGCAAACTTCAATCAAAGAAAACCTTCAGAGAAAGTTTGTGAAAGAGCAGTAAATACGTAAAATAGAACGCTCAGAAATATGAAAAGCTTATCTGAAAAGGTCTTAAACGGAAAATGCTATGCTCACAATAATGGCTCATTCGAAATAGCCAAAGGGAATATGCTTAAACTGATACCAAATGTATCCAATTATGTTGATTTGTAAGGTACCAGCCATCTTCATAATGAGCTCATTTCCTTTCCTCACTGTCCAAAACTTTTATTTTCAGCAGGTAATTGGAAACTTGGCAGTGTGTTATCCATGTAAACTTATGATTACAAATGAGTGGAGTTCTATGGTTGAAGATATCATTGAATCCAGAGGGAAATCAAGAGACAGATTTTTCAATGGTAAGTTATCATTTCAAAATCGCTACATTCCTTTATCTAGCTTTGTGCATATGACCATAAAACCTTTGAATTTGGGTGTATGCATGAAGTGTAAGATTTCACATACTGGTATCCTCTGTCCTGGTCATGGCCGAGGCTGGACTAGGCTCTCCGAGGCCCACGGTATTGCGAGTCACTACCCTGAACTCATACTCCACCCAGGCGTTCAGACCGGACACCGTGGCCGTCAGCATGTTCCCGTTGACTTCCTCAGGCACTGCGAACAGGAAATGAGTTCTTTCAAAAACCACATTGTCACACACAGAGATGGCAAAAGTACTCGCATCCTTTACTCGAGTAGAAGTACAGATACTCGTGTTTAAAAATACTCTGGTAAAAGTAGAAATACTTCTTTACTCAAGTCAAAGTAAAGAGGCTTTGGAATTTACTTCAGTAAAAAGTACCCAAGGTCCCGTCCTAAACTTGCCGGGTTGGAAGGCTAGTAGTCGGGTGAGTGCATAGGTAACCTCATGGTTTATTTTTAATTTTTTTTTATTATTATCGAAAAAAAAAAAAAAATATCTAAGGTAGCGCACCGCCGTGCTGATAAATTAAACCGTCGGGCGGTGTTATTTTAGTTACATACCCTTTGTGACGTGTGTGATTGTGACTGTACACACCACTCATCGAAACAAATTATTACACAAACGCTTAGACTGAGTGCACGTGACCCGAATAGACGGCGCCACTACAAATGTAAACCCATAAGTAACGGGAAATTGTTTGACATAAATATCACGCGAGGTTCCACGGACAACTCTACCGTTACGCAAATAAGTAGCCTTAATACTGATATTAACCGAGTAAAAATAGTAGAGACCGTTTATAGTACCGTTCGGGGTAAAATATTATTAAACTCGTCACTACGGTTCTGTTGTCGTTGTACCATTAGATACCGCGAAATTGTCAGTGTCTGTGAGCGGAAGAGAGTGGGGGAGAGACGATAAGAAAGATAACAAAGAGAGATCACGAGAAGAGGTTAGATCGGGGGAGAAAGGAACGAGTATTTACCTAGCGGAGGCTAACAGAGAAAGCTCGACGACGTCTAGGGTCTCATTATGAAACACTCCGCGGCCCGTGTCAGTGTGTGCGACGGACTGACTATTCGAGGCGGCGTACGTGTGTGGTTCGCTGCATCGGGAATTAATTTCGGAGTGCCTCCGGAAACTATACATTGTTCCACGATGTGCAGAATCACGCCAAGACTACTCGCCCTCCGAAGCACTAGTGAGTTTAAGTGGAGACAATTAATACGTTAACGTAAGTCAGGCGTCCAGGAGGTCTGTTGCCGCACAGCCACGCTCGCTCTAGTGTCTGTCGTGACGGGTCGAGAGGACGCTGAGGTCTTTCCGCTGTTACGCGTCGGGGTAGTGGCCGATGTAGTAGGTCGGTCTGAGGAAAGTGACACCGCGACCGTCGGCGCAACACCTATGTCCGGATGGTACTTCGGCGACAGACGTACATAATAAATAGTCCAAGAACGATCTCATGCAGAACTACGGCGGACAAACCTAGGGGAGCCCCCTTTGTGCCGGAAAAGTAACACGTCCCCGACGCTTCGATCGGCTCTTGTTTGTGAAGCGCAACTGACGCGACTGTAACAAAAGACCATCGAAATGAGGTGATGAATAAAAGACTGTTGAAAAATGAAACTGAGATGTAAAGTTGTGTTCTATGGACATGAAAGATGAGAACTGCTAAAGGGTTTGTCCAGACGCAAAAGGAATCACAACTTACACACAACACCGCACTAGTATATATAATCTTCGGTCCCCATCGGTTGTGCACGGGCGCCGTGATCAGCGGGCGTCCCCGTTGAACTCACGCGGGCGGCTCGCGGTACGAGATTTTTATCGAGCGGTTCGTTTAGGTTTTTCATATTTTATGTGTTTGTTTTTTTCCTTTACATTATTTTCTTGGATGGGATACGTATTTGCTTTGGAGTTAGTATGCGCTTGGGATAGATGAATGTGTTGAGGATATATATAGACTGTGGGGAGGGGTGGGGTGTTACTTAGCTGGTTAGCTGCAAGAACGAACTAACGCCCTGGTCGAACTCAGCCCTTCTTTTCGTTACCCGTGGAGGGCGACTAAAAGGAAGTACGTCTTAGTATGTGTTGTGAGTCGGGTAACTTGCCGGATAGTACGGCGGATATGTTGTGTACTCCTCGTTCTCAAAATGACACACACACAACGTTGAGACGTATAATATAAGATACGTGAACTACGTGTGTATGTGTACGCATTAAGGAATTTTTTTTGTCAATTTTCACCCTCACTAATCAAGTTTATTCGTCATGTTACTTTTCTATCTTTACGAATTGATCATTGTTTCTATTTTATTTGTTCAAATTTACTAAAGAATACAACACTAGTATAGGATTTACAAACCTAATATTTTCATAGTCGAGGGAAAGTATACTCACAACCTTCGACATAGGTAGTTAGGTAAAACGAGTTTTCACGAGGTCTACCTTACGTAAAGTGAAGTTGTAAATTTTCTTTTTTAAGGGGACCTCCTCAAACCACTCAGGGGTGGGCGTTTATTTCGTCCAAATTTTATTAATTTAACAATATGTACAATAAACATTTGTGACTTTTTGCCCAGGTTCTGGGTTTGTCGTGGGTTTCAATTTTCAATTCGTATATTATTACAATTTTACACGAATTTATATATGTGACGTTTTTCTGTTTTTTTTCTAGCTCATTTTTCATCGGGGCTGAACAAATAAAACTTTCATCGGAGTAGGATTTTTTCCAACCATGGGGACTAAATCCAGTACGCACGGATAACTAAACTTGTGCTAGGCACATAGGTAGTAAGACAGAAGAGATTTCTTCTCCTGTTACTTGCAACGTCAACGGCAACAAAGTCGTACCTTTTAAAGTAATCGATTGTTACTGTAATAACAACGATAAGTTATATTCCCTCCAGTCCAATGAGAAATTTTTC